CTGACTGTTTAAAATGTTTTACCTTTGAAAATTATAAAAGTAATGAAGTTTCCTTCCCTGCATACCCATTGACCCCTAATCCTACTCCCCAGAGGTAACCTGCTCTAAGAGTTCTGAAAGTTTTATGCAATATATAATTTTGTGTTATGTAGGAGATCACAGATTAACTCACTCCCTACACTTGGATATACAAAATGTAGTAACTCTTTTGCTCTAACTGATAGGTTGTCTACCTCACAAGTCCTTCCCCATTGGACAGCAGGGAAGCCTAATTCTGCCAATTAACAGGAACTGTGTACACTCTCACACCACGTGGCAGCTAAGGGAGCCCTGGACCTCTAAATTCAGGCCCCTTTTCTTTTTTTTTTTTTTGTATTGACAAACAGAATTTGTAAAAAGAAAAAAAAATCTATGTTCTCAAATGAGGAGAAGACACTTCAACATTTCCCTAAAACAAAATGGCAGAGTTGTTGAGTCCATGGAATATTTGCCCGGCACCCAAAAAAAAAAAAAAAAATCACAGGAGGTCAAAGGATATATCAACTTTGATCTCAGAGCCATCAAAAGCTACAGCAACAAAAAGGAGCAATAATATGAAACTTCATAATAAAGGCAAAAATTAAAGTTATTTTCATTTCAAAAAAAAAAAAAGAAGAACAACTAACCTCAGTAGCAAAGGCCTTCTTCTTTTTTTAATTAATTAATTAATTAATTTTTACATATTTTATTGATTTTCCCCCCTCCCTCCCTCCCACACATCCCCTCCCTCCCCAGAGCTTTATGCCCATTGGTTGTACTTATATGCATGTATACAAGTCCTTCAGTTGATCTATTATCTCCCCCAGATCCTCCTCCCCTCCCCGCTGAAATTTGACAATCTGCTTGTTGCTTTACTGTCTCTGTATCTATCTTTTGGTTCATCAGTTTATAATGATCTTTATTATCTACAAATGAGTGAGGTCATGTGGTGTTTCTCTTTCATTGATTGGGTTATTTCACTCAGCATGATGTTCTCCAATTCCATCCAGGTTGCTGCAAATGATGAGAATTCCTTCTTTTTTATGAAAGCATAGTATTCCATTGTGTAGATGTACCATGGTTTTTGGATCCAATCATCTGCTGACGGGCACCTAGGCTGTTTCCAAATTCTGGCTATTGTAGATTGTGCTGCTATGAACATAGGGGTGCATATATCCTTTCTGATTGGTGTTTCTAGTTTCTTGGGATATATTCCTAGGAGTGGGATTACTGGGTCAAATGGGAGGTCCATTTTCAGTTTTTTGAGGAAATTCCACACTGTTCTCCACAGTGGTTGCACCAGTCTGCATTCCCATCAGCAGTGCACAAGGGTTCCTTTTTCTCCACAACCTCGCCAACACTTGTCGTTTGTTGATTTGTTGATGTTGGCCATTCTGACAGGTATGAGATGGTACTGCATTGTTGTTTTGATTTGCATCTCTCGAATAATTAGTGACTTTGAGCATGTTTTCATGTGCCTTTTGGCCTTCCTTCTGTCTTCTTTTGAAATTATTCTATTTAGGTCCATTGCCCATTTCTTAATTTGGATCATTCACCTTCCTTTTATTTAGTTGTATAAGCTGTCTGTAGATGTTGGAGATTAAACCTTTATCAGTGGTGTTATTAGCAAATATGTTCTCCCACACCGTGGGCTTTCTTGTTGTTTTGTTGATGGTTTCTTTTGCTGTAAAAAAGCTTTTTATTTTGATGTAGTCCCATTTGTTTATTTTCTCTTTAGCTTCCATTGCCCTAGGGGCAGTATCAGTGAAGATTTTGCTGCCTGTGGATGCTTCTAGTATTTTTATGGTTTCCTGTCTGATGTTTAAGTCCTGCATCCATTTTGAGTTTATTTTTGTGTATGGTGTAAGTTGGTGATCTAGTTTCATTCTTTTGCATGTGTCTGCCCAATTTTCCCAACACCATTTATTGAAGAAACTGTCTTGACTCCATTGTATATTCGTGCCTCCTTTGTCAAATATTAATTGAGCATAGTGATTTGGGTTGATATCTGGGTTCTCAATTCTATTCCATTGATCCATATGTCTGTTCTTGTGCCAGTACCAGGCTGTTTTTTTTTTTTTTTTTTTTTTTTTTTTCATAATTAACTTTTTTATTCTTTTTTTTTTTTTTAATTTAAATTTTTTTTAAATTAATTAATTTATTTTTTTTACATATTTTAATGCTTTTTTTTGCCCCCCTCCCTCCCTCCCCCATGAGAACAGTGGCTTTGTAATACAGTTTGAAGTCTGGTATTGAGATCCCTCTTACTTTACCCTTCTTTCTCAGGATTGCTGTGGTTATTCGGGGTCTTTTATTGTTCCAAATGAACTTTTGGAGAGTTCTTTCTAGGTCAGTGAAATATGCCGTTGGTATTTTAATGGGGAGTGCATTGAACCTATAGATTGCTTTAGGAAGTATGGACATTTTGATGATGTTGATTCTACCAATCCATGGACATGGTACGTTCTTCCATCTCCTTACATCTTCCTCTATCTCTTTTTTCAGTGTCGTGTAGTTTTCTGCATATAGGTCCTTTATTTCCTTAGTTAAATTTATTCCTAGGTATCTTAATTTTTTTGGTGCGATGGTAAATGGAATTGCTTTTTTAGTCTCTGTTTCTGTAGTTTCACTGTTGGTGTATAGAAATGCCATGGATTTCTTGGCATTAATTTTGTATCCTGCTACATTGCCAAATTCATTTATTAAGTCAATTAGTTTTTTAATGGAGTCTTTTGGTTTTTTTTTATGTACAGTATCATGTCATCTGCAAATAAGGATAACTTTACTTCTTCTTTTCCAATTTGGATGCCTTTTATTTCCTCCTCTTGTCTAATTGCAATGGCTAGTACTTCCAGTACTATGTCAAACAGGAGTGGCAAGAGTGGGCATCCCTGTCTTGTTCCTGTTCTTAGAGGGAATGGTTTTAGTTTTTGCCCATTGAGTATAATGTTGGCCGTGGGTTTATCATATATGGCTTTTATTATTTTGAGGTATGATCCTTGTACTCCCACCTTGTTAAGAGTTTTTATCAGGAAAGGGTGTTGGATTTTATCAAATTCTTTTTCTGCATCAATTGATATGACTATATGATTTTTATCTTTCAATTTGTTTATGTGATGTATCACATTTATTGATTTGCGGATATTGTACCATCCTTGCATTCCTGGAATAAATCCTACTTGGTCATGGTGTATGATCTTTGTGATGTTCTTCTGGAGACAATTTGCTAGAATTTTGTTGAGGATTTTGGCATCTATGTTCATGAGGGATATTGGCCTGTAATTCTCTTTCATTGAGTTGTCTTTATCTGGTTTTGGTATTAGGGTGATGCTGGCTTCATAGAAGGAGTTTGGAAGTGTTCCTTCCTCTTGGATTTTTTTGAATAGTCTGAGGAGGATAGGTTTTAGTTCTTCCTTGAATGTTTGGTAAAACTCTCCTGTGAAGCCATCTGGCCCTGGGCTTTTGTTTGCTGGAAGCTTTTTGATGACTGTTTCAATTTCTTCCCAAGACACTGGTCTATTGAGATTTTTAGATTCTTCCTGATTGAGTTTTGGAAGTTTGTATTTTTCTAGGAATATGTCCATTTCCTCCAGGTTGTTCAGTTTGTTGGCATAGAGTTGTTCGTAGTATTTTGTAACAATCTGTTGTATTTCGGTGGGGTCTGTTGTTATTTCACCTCTTTCATTTCTGATTTTGTTTATTTGGGTCCTCTCTCTTTGTTTCTTGGTTAGCCTGGCTAGAGGTCCATCTATCTTGTTTATTCTTTCAAAGAACCAGCTCTTGGTTTTGTTGATCTTATCTATTGTTTCTTTGGTCTCTATGTCGTTTATCTGTGCTCTGATTTTTGTTATTTCCTTCCTTCTGCTTACACTGGGCTTTTCTTGTTGCTCCTTTTCTAACTCTTTGAGTTGTAGAGTTAGATCATCTGTTACCCTTTTTTCTAGTTTTTTGCAATAGGCTTGTAAGGATATGAACTTCCTTCTCAAAACTGCTTTTGCTGTGTCCCATAGATTTTGGATTGTTGTGTTTTCATTGTCATTTGTTTCCAGGATGTTTTTAATTTCTTCCTTGATTTCTCTGGTAACCCAATCCTTGTTTAATAGCATGCTGTTTAGTCTCCATGTGTTTGATTTCTTTGGATTATTTTTATTGTAGTTAATTTCCAGTTTTATGCCATTATGGTCTGAGAAGATACTTGATATGATTTCTATCTTCTTGAATTTGAAGAGACTTTGCCTATGTCCCAAAATGTGGTCTATCTTTGAGAATGTCCCATGTGCACTTGAGAAGAATGTATATTCTGTGGCTTTGGGGTGCAGTGTTCTGAAGATGTCAATTAATTCCATCTGGTCTAGTGAGTCATTTAGGATTGATATTTCTTTGCTGATTTTTTGTTTAGATGATTTGTCGAAGGGTGACAGTGGGGTATTAAAATCTCCTACTATGATTGTATTGCTATTAATCTCTCTCTTAATGTCCTCCAGCAGTTTTTTAATGTATTTGGTTGCTCCTGTATTGGGTGCATATATATTTACCAGGGTTATTTCTTCTTGTTGGATTGTTCCCTTTAGTATTATCAAGTGGCCTTCATTATCTCTTATTATGTCCTTCACTCTGAGATCTAATTTGTCAGATATAAGTATTGCTACCCCAGCTTTTTTTTCATTTCCATTTGCCTGGAAAACTTTTTTCCATCCCTTCACCCTCAGTCTATGTGCATCTCTTTTTCTGATGTGGGTTTCTTGTAGACAACAGATGTATGGGTCTTGTTTTCTTATCCAATCTGTTACCCTATGTCTTTTGATTGGAGCATTTAATCCATTTACATTTAAGGTTATTATTGATAGGTACTCATTTGACACCATTTTTATTCTATACCCGTGTTCCTTCTTCACTTCTTATTTCTTTATTTTTACAGTAGATCCTTTAGCATTTCTTGCATTGCTGGTTTGGTGGAGATAAATTCCTTCAGTCTTTTTTTGTCTGTGAAGCTCCTGATTTCCCCTTCAATTTTGATTGATAGCCTTGCTGGGTACAGTATTCTTGGATTCAGACCCTTACTTTGCACGACTTTGTATATTTCACCCCATTCCCTTCTTAAATTCAGGCCTCTTTTCTGACTCATCTCATGCAACATGCAGGGAACCATATGAGACAGTATCTGCCCAGCCCGTCAGATGGAAACTTGATGACTTTCAAGTTTCCCCTCAACTTAAACACTCAGACTCTGGGATTTTGGTTTGGGAAGCAGGATTACTATAATATGCATGATTAATCCTCTGCCTCCCTGTCTCTCTTCTTCCCATAGGCCACTGAGCCTGAGGGTTGGGCTTTAAAAAAAATATATTTTTTTAAAATATTTTTTTAATTTTATTGATTTTTTACAGAGAGGAAGGGAGAGGGATAGAAAGTTAGAAACATTGATGATAAGAGAGAATCATCCATCAGCTGCCTCCTGCACACCCCCCACTGGGGATGTGCTCGCAACCAAGGTACATGCCCTTGACCGGGACCTTCCAGTCTGCAGGCTGACGCTCTATCTACTGAGCCAAACCGGTTTCGGCTGGGCTTTTATTTTACATCTCCTTACTGTCTTCTAGGGACTTCTGTGGCCTACCTTCCTCCACCTCAAATCTAACAGGAAGTGCAGAATTCAGGGAGAGAAATAAGCTTGCTGATATGGGAATAAACATACATTGGGAAATACTTCAAAACTGATGCCTGTAACATATATATATATATATATATATATATATATATATATATATATATATATATATATGTATAATTTTAACTGATCAGAAGTGAGGTTATATGACATATAATGCTCTGTTTCAATTTAGTGTTTCTTGAGGATATTTTCATACACATACACACACGCCTACCTTATTCTTTTAAAAGAGCTACATAATATTCCATAAAAAGTAATATAGTTTATCTAGCCCGTCTTCTACTGAAGGTAACTTATGTAATTTCCAATATTTTCTATGCAAACAATGCCATAGTAAATATTATTTAGTTTTGATTTTCTTGAATATTTGTGTGAGTATATTTTTTTGACATATCACTAGCAATGGAATTACTTTATCAACTAGTGTGTGCGTTTAGGATTGTCTAAAAATATTCAAGCACTTTACATTCTCACCCATTGATATGAAAGGCACAGTTTTCCATTAAGATAACAGATTTTGTACATTACATCAAAATGGCAGATCATTCCTCACTTGAAAATGTGCTTTAAGAATTCTAACTGCAGTCAGCATTGTGAAATAATTCCTCTTAAAGATAAGGATCACTGGCTCCTATACTATTTTTATTTTCTCTTATCATCATGTGCCCCCCCAGCTCCCCTACATTTTTTCAAATAAATTATGTTTCAATGTTTTTTCTTTTTTTTTTATAACTTTTAAAAAATATTTTTTTAAATTGAGTTTTGAGAGAGAGAGGAAGAGGGAGATGAGGAGAGAGAGAGAGAGAGAGAGAGAGAGAGAGTGAGAGAGATGAGAATAAAACATTGATTGACGGCCTCCCCTACAGTTTGGGGAACCTGTGACTTTTTGGTGTACGGAAGGACACTCCAACCAACTGATGAGCCACATTGGCCAGAGCATGTTTCAATATTTTCTTTTCTTTTTTAGTTTAGATCTGTGAATAAATTTTCTGACCAAAATTAAGTTATCTAGTACCCTTTTGTGAAATTTACTAGGAAATCTTTACATCATTGTTTTTCTTAATCGAGGCCTGTAAAAAACGACCTATAAGTCTATTAAAATGTACAATTTGATTGCTTGGGTTTCCTAAAGAAAATGTTTGTTAGACTATGGGAATCAATTCCACATGGCAAAACCATTTCTTAAAAAAATACATATTTTTATTGATTTCAGAGAGGAATGGACAGGGAGAGAAAGCTAGAAACATCAATGATGAGAGAGAATCACTGATTGGCTGCAGCCTCCAGCCCCACAGTAGGGATTGAGCCGAAACCCAGGAATCAGACTGTGATATCCTGGTTCATAGGACAACACTCAATCACTGACCATGCTGGCTGGGTGGCAAACCATTTTTGAGATGGTATTGCAACAGGTAATAGGAATAGCTAAGGAATTCCAGAACAGAGAAAACTGGATGGGGGATTTAATATCCTGTTTCCCCGAAAATAAGACAGTGTCTTATATTAATTTTTTCTCCCAAAGTTGCGCTAGGTCTTATTTTCAGGGGATGTCTTATCTTTCCATGCGCTAGGTCTTATTTTTGGAGGATGTCTTATTTTCGGGGAAACACGAGGTATGTATGTGTGTGTGTATATATATATATATATATATATATATTACTGGGTTAGAATGAGTTTTATATTAGCTAAAACTGTTTGGATGATTAATATATTTCTATTTTTATCTTGAAAGAACTTGTAGCAAAACATCCAAAAGCACCAGGTTTATGATACAGAATTTGTGAGGTTTGGTGGATCCACATCCTATCTTACCAAATTGCACATATTTGAATAGTAGTATACCAGCCACATAATCAAGTTCATTTAATTTATGGTGTGTGAAAGTGTGTTTATTCTAAGAAATGAAAAAGACAATATTTGTGAGATAAACATTTGAAGGCAGTGCATACTGGCCAAGTGTTCCCATTGGTATTTCTATAAGTCCAGAATACTTTAAATCTGGTTTACCACACCTGGGAACTTTCAACATGGTCTCATCACTTACTCAAAGACATTATGTGAAAATTTTAGGCAACCTTTTAAACATTTTTTCAGCATGGATAAACTATGACTTAAAGAATAATGCATGGAAGGATTAATTAGAAATAAGAGTGTTTAAAATAAAATTTGGACCATTTGAAGAAACTCGTCTAACTTGACATTGTAATTACATAATATGTACTTTGAGTATAAACATTAAGCTTTAATGAATACTTAAAGGCAAAATTACATCAGCAAGATACTATAAGGTTCCTTTTTATATTTTTAGGTGTTTTAAATAGTTGCAATGGCTTTAGATGATGATTTAAAATGTTACATATAATACAGTTTTGCCTGCTAAGTTCTCCATATTTTGTAAACGGTTTTACTCCTTTGGGTATAGAGTATTTTTTGACTAGTGTCATGATATATCTATGCTGTATCCTGGATGTACAGTCATGTTTCAGTCATCGTCTAGCTTTGGCTGCTGAACTCAGTTGTAAGACTGTTCCCTCTTTCTGTTAGAACGCCTTTCAGTTCTGTACTGAATACTGTAACTACTGTAGGAAATGTCACTTCTTCTTTGAAGGCTGTTTTGTAATATGTGTAAGAAGTGGAATTGTCTTTCTAAAGAAAATCATTCAAATATGACAATGATAGTATCTGTGTTACACCATTCAAAGTGCTGTTCAGTTGTTGCGACAAACTATTACATATCATTTAATAAAGGGACCAAAATGAAAACACACAAACAGTTTTTATAACTATGCAAGTGATTAAGAGAGGATGAGAATACATTTGGACAAAAGAGGGAAAACAGGAAGGAAGGAGATGAGTCATTTGGTTAACTGTGTAATGTGGGTGACAGGGTCACAGATGTTGGGAGTCATGTAGACCTGGGTGGGAATTCCAGCTCTGCCTTATACTCTGTGTCTCAGCTTCTCCAGTTCCATTTGTTGTGAAGGCCAAATGAGATAATACATGTAAAGTGTTTAGTATTCAATACATGCTTACTTTAAGTACTATTATTATGTACCTGGTGCTATGCTAGAGGTTTAACATGCACTAGATACTAAAGGGAATGCAAAAGGAAGTACTAGGTTTTATTCCAGACTAGTTGGAAAAACACACAGCCCATTAGAAACCATCTGGAAACAATGAAGACCATCAAAAGCACTAAGTGCCCTAGAAACTCAGATCTACTTTGGAGTTGAATTTTGTTAATAATTTGTTCTTGGGAATTTGATACCTTTTGAAGAGCTGTCTTTAATTTTTCAAGACTTTCTTGAAAGCATCTCATAAATCATGTGACAGGTTATGTCAACCTCATTTTTTAAAAGTCCAATTACGTGTTTGTTGTGGTTTCAAGAGAATCAACATCCTGAAATTCTATAAAAAATTTCATTGGTATCAGGGCTGAGAAATAGCTTCAGGGTAGAAATGAGGTAGATTTGGTTCTTGCAGTGGGTTTCAAAGGGAAATTTTAGGCTTCTTTTTAGGATTATTTTGTGAAATGTCAGAGTCTTGTATATGTCTGTGGTTGAGGGTGCAGTGATGCCTGTCCTGGGCCAATAGAGGAAATGATGAAATAATGAAACTTAATTGTGCACTGTCCAACCAGGAGACAGAGGGAAGGCTGCAGCTTTTCCCCAAACCTGGCCCTATTTCATCATGACATATCACTGGTGGTACCATGGAAATACTTCTTAGGACCTTCTCTATTTTCTCTATCATTCCTCTCTTACAGTTTTAGAGTTGATCAGACCTGGATCTGAGCCCTCGTCCTTCTGGCTTTTATTACCTGTATGACCTTAGGGAACTCGTTTTAATCTATGCTTTTTCATAGTCCAATGGAGAAAATGTTCATGAATGTGCATTTCAACAAACACTTAAGGAGATTCCGGTTTGGGACGAAGGGGAACTGAAATCTGGAGAGGTGGATTGGCTTGCCTAATACCATACAGCTACTCTGTGGCAAAGTCCAAAATTGATCCAGAGTTTCCTGACTCCTGGTCCAACATTCTGTTCATAAAAGCAGTGGCCTATTGGGGGTGGGGGTGAATGTCTGGGGAAGCATCCTCTAGTGTTGTCTTCTACATAAAGCAGCTACAATATTGCTCTTCAGAAAGACCCTAGATAGACTCGCTCAATCAGCTCCAAGGCACACCACCTGACCTGCTTGCTTCTCCTGCATCTCAGCTTTCCCAAATGTTACACCTTCTTCCTCAAGCTCCAGGTAAAAACCTGGGAATTATTGAAGATACCTTCCTCTCCCTCATCCCATATGTAATTTTCAGAAAGTCCTGTTAATTTTTCCTTATAAGTTTCCATTCATCTCTCACCTGGACCATCACTTTTTATATGGTCTCACACTGAACTTTCTCCACAATGTGATTCCTTTTTCTCTCTACCATCTGGTTTAAAAACCTTGAATGATTTCCTATGACTGTTAGGTTGGAAGTATAATAGGACCTCCAGTGCTTTTTAGTCTTATTTTGTACCATTCTTTTATTCTCTGAGCTCTTTCTTCAAATTTCCTGAAGGTGTCAGATCCTCCTTGCCATAGGGGCCTTAGCACATGTAGCTCTTTTGTCCAGAGCACTGTTTCCTCTCTTCTTCTTCCTTTGCCTAGTCAACTCCTACTCATTCTTTTTTATTTTATTTTATTTTTTTTCTACTCATTCTTTAAAAAAAATAAAAAAAAAAAAATAAATATATATATATATATATATATATATATATATATATATATATATATATATAATTGCTTTTTTTTACAGAGAGGAAGGGAGAGGGATAGAGAGCCAGAAACATTGATGAGAGAGAATCATCGATCTGCTGCCTCTTGCACACCCACCATTGGGGATGTGCCCGCAACCAAGGTACATGCCCTTGACCAGAATCTAACCTGGGAACTTTCAGTGCTCAGGCCAATGCTCAGTGGATCACTGAGCCAAACCAGTCCTGGCTCGTACTCATTCTTTAAATCTTAACTCAAGACTGACTTTTCTAAGAAAATCTTTTCTGACTGCTTCCAGTTTGCTGAGTTACTGTTACACTCCTAGACCCATCCATGCCTCCCCTTCCCCCCCTCTTATGTGTATCAATCTGAATTTCATATACTCATTTGAATAACTACTTGATTAATTTCAGCCTTTCCCACTCTATTATATGTTCCATGAGAGCAAATAACATAATTGATTTCACTTACTATTTTTCCTACAGTATCTAGCTCAGTGCCCAGCACATAGTAGGTTCTCAAAAAATTATTTAATGAATGAATGAAGCTTATATTAAATTCTTTCTTAAATCTCCACTTCATCTGTCTCATCTGGTTTCAATCACCCTAAGCCTACCTTTCATATATATTTACACTTACCAGTAGTTGGGCACATGTATATACATGTGTGTCTTTTACAGTCTCTTTATCTTAAGGTAAGTTCTACATTTCATCTTGGTCATCTTTAATGATATTTTCTAATCTGAAGGTCTCAGATAGGAAATAGAAGGGGCCTCATGATTGCAGGGAAGGGAAGTACTTAGTACATTACCCTTCCTCTCTCTCTTTTACTGAACTGTTGGGGAAATCCCTTTGGTCATGAAAGGCCACAGATTATCATGGTTTGTATCAAGGTTTTAACAGTAGGTAACTCATGAAAAGGCGATAGAAAGCCATAGCTTTCATAACCCATTGAATTTCTTTACCTTTGGGAATTATACTATTAAAGTACACTCTGAGACCTTTTGTTAGATTATCTCAGGGATTTCATGCCATTATAAATCATTATTGCAAATTGATAACCTATACGTAGACATGGTTGGGCACCTTACCAAGTGTGAGTTCAACAGGGTAAACAAACTATTGGGCTGAGGAAGAAATGGGGTGGGGAGGCTTAGAGATGTTCTCTGGAGCATCTGGGAGTATCCCCAAGAATCAGAAAGTTGGCATAGTGTAACTAGGGATTATCCAAGATAAGGTATCCAATGCCTTTGCACTCAATGCTTAGTAAATATATGCAATTCTTTTATTACTATAAAAAGTAAGTAGGCACTTACATTTTAGTTGGGAGAAGAAATAAAAGGCACAATTCTCTTTTTTTCCAATGCATAGGCACATTGAAATGTATTTATTTATTAAGACACTTCAGCAGTCTATTGCATTTTTATTAAATAGGACCTTTCTTTTAAAATGCAATCCTGTTCTCACCTGGTGGCTTAGTTGGTTGGAGTGTCATCCCATATACCAAAAGGTTGTGGGTTCAATTCCGTTCAGGGTATCGATATATACCTAGGTTGTGGGTTCAATTCCATTCAGGGCACATATCTAGGTTATGAGTTTAATCTTTGGTCGGGAACATAAGGGAAGTTACTGATTGATGTTTTTTCCTCTCTCTTTCTCTCTCTCTCAAATTAATAACTCATAACCTTGGGTGAGGATTAAAAAAATACAGTATTAGCCAAAACCGGTTTGGCTCAGTGGTAGAGCGTCGGTCTGCAGACTGAAAGGTCCCAGGTTCGATTCCGGTCAAGGGCATGTACATTGGTTGCTGGTCGATGTTTCTCTCTCATCAACGTTTCTAGCTCTCTATCTCTCTCCTTTCCTCTCTGTAAAAAATCAATAAAATATATTTTAAAAAATACAGTATTAAGTAGAAGAATCCTTAACATGTTTTGGGTGTTGGAAAAGAGGAAGATTTTCTGAGTAACTTTTGTATAACCACTAAATTCCTGCCTGAGCTTTCAGGATTTGTTGAAAAATAGGTCTTTTGTTTTTCACACTCTTATTCTTTCCACAACTTTATCATACTTTTATTCATTCTTTGTGGATCTTATCACAATGTGTTATTGTTATTAGTGTGTTCTACTGTTTTTTTAAAAACAGAATTGTGTCATTCCTACTCAGCTATAAGCTCCATGGGAGCAGGAATCTCTGCTTGATGACCTCCATTATATCCATAGGTCCCAGAACCATCATCTCTGGTCTAGGATGGGTGACTAATAACCATTTATAAGTACCAATCTACTTAGCCTCCCAAGAGCCTACAAGACAGATATGATTATCATCCTCACTTTATAAATGAGAAAGCTGAGGCATAGAGAGGCTAAATAATTTGCTAATCATGGCAGAATTTGTAATGGATGCATTCATCATGATGACCTTCTGCCACAAACAAATGCTGGTTAGAAGAACGGAGGGAGGCTCCATGGGAGCAGTTGCTGAGCAGCTTTGGCTATGCAATGTACCAATTACTCAGACAGGCAGGCCAGGCTTTCAGTGAGCCGGAAAGCCTGCTACAGTGTGCCCCTGAGGTGGGGGAGGGGTGGTGAAGGGGAAGGAGAACAGCTGAGGACATGGTAAGTGGAGTGGACAAGTCTAGTCAGAAGTACTTGAGGAGCCAAGCTGATCAGTTCTGTTGTTTCCTAATATTCCTCTTTTTCTGGATTGAAAGTCAAGATCTATGGTAGATTTTTTTCTATATTTGTAAACAGAATGGCCTGGTGGGGAGGGGGTGTTTATTCTCCAAGATTCCTAAAGCTCAACTTAGTGCTTGAGTGCTTTCTAGCTACGTAACTGATCCTATCCTGTCAGATACATTGAAAACTAAAGCAGTAATGGGTTCAGAGAGATTCATGCTGGCCTTTTTCTTAAAGATGACTTTATTTTTTTAAAAAAAAATTAGGTCTTTAAAATGTATTTTTTAAAAAAGTTCTTTACAAATTATTTATGCTTATGGATTTTTTTTTTTAAAGAAACCAACCAGTATAGAAGGGCACAAAGTGAAAAGCGAGAGACCCTCATCCAGAAGTGTTGTATGTATGTCTCAACCTGTATAGAGTCTCACTTTTCACTTGTATAAATGGGAACATATTATATTATGTGTCCTTGTTTCTTAAATAGATTTATTTTGGGGGGAGACTTTTGGGGTAACATGACAGATTGAGCACATAATTTTTCTGCCTTCTACTACTGCACTATAACTACAGATTTATGTCAAATATTTATAAAGATAGAACAAATAGAAGAGGAATCAAAAGGTCTTAACATTTTGGAAGCAAACAAGTAGACAGAAGAATGGCAACTGGTGTAATAGACCCAGGAAAGTGAAACCCTAAACTGACTAATGAGAAAGCTGAGAGCTACCTCCTCTAACTCAGATGCCAAAAGGCTCAGTAGCTGATGGCCGGAACCAGTGGTCAGCAAACTGTGGCTCAGGAACTATATGTGGCTCTTTGGCCCCTTGAGTGTGGCTCTTCCACAAAATACCATGGCCTGGGCAAGTCTATTTTGAAGAAGTGGCATTAGAAGAAGTTTAAGTTTAAAAAATTTGGCTCTCAAAAGAAATTTGAATCGTTGTACAGTTGATATTTGGCTCTGCTGACTAATGAGTTTGCCGACCACTGCTCTAGGGAATCTGACCTGTGCAAGCAGAAAGGCATAAATATATGGACACAGAATTGCTCAGATCATTCTACAGGAAGCTCAAAGTCAGTAAACTTCATCCTCAGGCTTAAAGCTTCCAATCAGCCCATCTCCCCCTTTTCTTTTCTTTTCTTTTCTTTTCTTTTCTTTTCTTTTCTTTTCTTTTCTTTTCTTTTCTTTTCTTTTCTTTTCTTTTCTTTTCTTTTCTCTTTTCTTTTCTCTTTTCTTTTCTCTTCTTTTCTTATTTTAAAATATATTTTATTGATTTTTACAGAGTGGAAGGGAAAGGGATAGAGAGTTAGAAACATCGATGAGAGAGAAACATCGACCAGCTGCCTCCCACACCCCCACCACTGGGGATGTGCCTGTAACCAAGGTACATGCCCTCGACTAGAATCGAACCTGGGACCCTTCAGTCCACAGGCTGACACTCTATCCACTGAGCCAAGCCAGTTAGGGCCTCCCTCTTCTTTTAGACATGAGCAGGCAACCAGCTATGTGAGGATGGTATCTAACATGAGGAAGTAAAAAATAAACAGAAAATGAACTTGGAGGAACCAGATTGTACAATCAGTTATCAGAAAACCTGAAATTATTCTCAGGGAAAATATTTCTTCCATGAAAAAAACAATGAGATGTTATAAAAAGTAATGTTTGAAAATGAAAATAATCCTTGGGTATTGGAAACACATCAGAAGTGAAAAACACAAAAGAAAAGTTGAGTAAAAATTCCAAGAAACTACAACAAAAGAAAATAATTGAAACTAGGAAACAAAAAGAAGAAAGTTATGAGTCCAGGAGATCTAACAGCTGAACAACAAAAGTCCCAGAAAGAAAGAACATAGAGAACATGGAGGAGAGGATACTTTTTAGAGCTTAAGGACATGAATTTTGATATTAAAGAGGCCAATGGTTGTTGAGCACAAGGAATGAAAAACTACCTCCAGCATAATTGTGAAATTTTATTAGCTTGAGAATAAGGAAGATTCTACAAACTTTCATAGAGAAAAGATAGGTTGCATACAAATAATCAGCAATCAAAGGGGCTTTGAACTTTGAAACAGTAGCACTGGAAGGCAGAAGATTGAGGGTGAAATCAATACTTTTCAAATATGTGAAGGGCACTTAATTCCAACCTAGATTTCTAAGTAAATCAAAATATGAGTCAAGTGAGAGGATGCAAAAAAAAAGATACAGTCAAATATTTAAAAAATTGCAGCCCTAGCTGTTATTGCCCAGTGGTTGGAGCATCGGCCTGCACACCAAAGGGTTCCGTTCCCAGTCAAGGATAGGTACCTGCTCCAGTTGAGGCACATGTGGGAGGCAACTACCGTATTTTTCGGACCGTAAGACGCACTTTCCCCCCCCCCAGAAGTGGGAAGAAAAAGTCCCTGCGTCTTATGGTCCAAATATAGCCTACACATATACTTTAAAAAAAAAGTTTTTTTACTTGCCCGGCTCTGTGTGGTCTCTGTGTGCTTGCCCGGCTCTAAAATGGTTCTAAATGCTGCTGTTTACTTTACAGGGCTGATTACATGTGTTTATGACTGTGATGTTGGGTTTTAATGCACATAAAATATTTTCGGACACTGTTTGTTTCAGAATCTTTTTTTCTTCATTTCCCTTCTCTAAAAACTGGTGCTTCTTATGGTCCAGAGCGTCTTATGGTCCGAAAAATACGGTAATCAGTATCTCTCATATCAATGTTTCTCTCTCCTTCTCTCTTTCTTTCTCTCTCTCTCTCTCTCTCTCTCTCTCTCTCTCTCTCTCTCTCTCTCAAAAAAAAAAAAAAATCAATGGAAAAAAATATCCTCAGATAAGGAGGATTAACAAAAAAGAAAAATTGCAAAAAGTTCCCCTTCTAAGGAAGCTTTTAGAAGATACACTCTGTACAAATGAGTGAATAAGCCAAGAAAGAGGAAGGCCTGGAATACAGAAGATCCATCGTTTTGACGAAGGGAAGGGAATCTCCTGGAGAGTGATAAAGGGAGATCCCAGGATGACAATTATGCTTCAGAAATAGAGAGCAGTCAGTGCATATTGGAACAGCATGACTCAGGAGGTAGGTTGAGAGCTGCCATTGCCAAGTCTTCTGCCATACCAGTCTTTTAAAAAAATTTATTATTGTGACAAAAATCACTTAATTTTTACCATCTTAACCATTTTTAAGTATACAGTTCAGTAGTGTTAAGTATTTTACATTGTTGTGAAATATTATAGATCACCCCAGCTTTCTCATTTTACAAACCTGAAAGTCAATACCTATTAAACAACTCAAAAGAAGGATTGAGTAAAAAGTTGAGGAAACTCCACAATTCTACTTTCTGTTTCTGTGAATTCAACTGCCTCATATTTGTCTTCTGTCACTGGCTTTGGTCTCTTAGCATAATGTCCTTAAGGTTCATCTTTGTTGTAGTATATGACAGGATTTCCTTTTTTAAAAAGGTTGGATAGAATTCAGTTGTATGTATATACCACATTTAGTTTGTCCATTCATCTGTTGATGGATATTTGGGTTTCTTGCACTTCTTGGCTTTGTGAACAATGCTGCTCTAAAGCAATAAACACAGAAGTACACATATCTCTTTGAGACTGCTTTCAATTCTTTTGGATATATACTCAGAAGTGGGATTTCTGAATCATGGTAGTTCTGTTTTTAATTATTTAAGATACTGCCATACAATTGCATCATTTTACAGTACACTAATAGTGCACAGGGTTCTAATTTCTCCACATTCTTACTAACCCTTGTCATTTTTTGTTTGTGTGTGTATGTGTTTAATAATCATTATAATAAAATATTTCATTGTGGGTTTTTTAAAAATGCATTTTTTTTATTGATTTCAGAGAGAAAGGGAGAGGGAGAGAGAGAGAGAAACATTAATGATGAGAGAGAATCACAGATTGCTTGCCTCCTCATACTGGGATCAGGCCAAAATGGGCAGTTGGACATCCCTCTCACAATCCAGAACTGCTGGCTCCCAACTGCTCCCCTAACTGCTTCTGTCTGCCAGCCTGATCACCCCCTAACCACTCCCCTGCCAGCCTGATTAATGCCTAACTGCTCCCCTATCAGCCTGATTGCCCCAACTGCACTCCCCTGCAGGCCTGGTCAGCCCTAACTGCCCTCTCTTGAAGGCTTGGTCACTCCTAACTGCCCTCCCCTGCTGGCCATCTTGTGGTGGCCACTTTATGTCCAAATGGGGGCAGCCATCTTTGATCACATGGGGGCAGCCATCTTGTGTGTTGGGGTGATGGTCAGCTTGCATATTACTCTTTTATTAGATATGATTTTGAAGTCAGTAAATATGAGTTTTCCAAATTTGTTCTTTTAAAAAGTTGTTTTGGCTATTCAGGGTCCCTTGAGATTCTTTAAATTTTAGAATGAATTTTTCTATTTTTATAAAAAATGCTATTAAGATTTGAAGGAATTGCATTGAATCTATAGATTGCTTTGGGTAGTCTGAATATTGTACCCATCTTTTTAGTTGCATAAAACTAGTAGAAAATGAGTTTTACCAAAGTGATGGTATAAAACAATAAAGTGGAAGATGAGAGACCATGGGGAATTGATAGATTACCTAATGGGATTAGCTACTGGAATACTGTACTGAGAGGCCATTGGACAGTGTGGAAGAATTATAGGTATAATTAGGTATAAAGGTATTCAAGCTAATTAAAAAACATGGTGATTATTAAATTTGGGGGAATAAAAACAAAAAGGGAAGCATTATCATACCACATTATAGTATTTGGCTATGATTAACATTTGCATGGATATATAGTGTAAATATTGAATATTTAATTAATCAAAAGTATAATGTATATTAAGTTGTGAAAGAAAGCACAGTGTTAGGAGAGTTAGACCTTCATTCGCCCATAATAAGAAGTCAATAATGAGTTGAAAGACAGCAGTATGGTTTGTTTAGTGCTATGCTATGCAATATAATAGTTGCTAGTCAGCACTGGATATGTGACTGGTACAAATTGAGATATATTGTTAGTATGAGCTACACATTGAATTTTGAAAACTTACTATAAAAAGAGAATGTAAAATCTCATTAAGAAATTTTAATTGGTCACATGTTGCAATGATGTTATTTTAAATATGTTGAGTAAATAAGACATTAAAATTCATTTGCACTTGTTTATTTTACCTTCTTTTAATGTGGCTAGTAAAGAACTTAAAATTGCTTATGTGGCTTACATTACATTTCTTTGGACAGCATTGGTTGGAAATAGGTGATGTGTAGATGCACAAGAAACAGGACAGTGAGAAATTGTGGAATAAGAAATTACTGTGTTTCGTTCTAAGCCTTTTAACATAATTTGACTTTTGAAATAAGTGCAAATAAAGTTTCCCCCATTAGTTCACATATATTTATCTGTTCTTTTAGAAACTGCATAATATTCTACTGTATGAAGATACCATAATTACTATATTAATTTCTTTTATTTATGGATACTTAAGTTGTTTTCACATTTTTTGTTTTGCTATTTCAAATATCATTTTAATAAATATCTCTAGACATAGATCTTTGCCATATTACATCTTCAAGATGACTATCTAGAAGTGGGCTTCTGAGACAAAGGGAATGTACATTTAAAGTTTAGATAAATTATCAAGTTTCTCTTCTGAGAAATTATGATATTTATACTCCCAGCAACAATACCATCTACTCAACACATTGAACAACTAGCCAGCCCTGCTAAATTCATGGCTAATAACAAACTAATTTGAAGAAGAAAGTAATTTTGTGGCAAAAAACAGATTATTTTTAATTTTTAGATCTGTGCTACCTCTTTATCCTATTAACATCACTCTAAGTTTTCTTAATTTGTCTTCAATCTTGGCCTTAAACAAGTACTGTATCATCCAGTCTGAGTATTTGCACACACATACTCCACTTTTATTAAAAACAGCTGTGCAAAGTTCCCTCCTCCACATTATTCTTTCCCTTTACGCCCAGCAGACGGCCTTAGGGGAGCGGCTACTGTAAAGACTGAACATTGAAGGATTGATTCAGTGAAAATGGGAAGGCTGTATGCAAAGCCTTGATAGTTCTCATTCTGCTAGGGGAAAGAGTTGTTTCTGATATAGTCATAGATAAGGATAACTTACTTAAACAACTTCCCTTTCTCCCAATTTAATGATAAAATAAAGAAGAAAAATGTGTCACCGACTAGAGTGGTATGTGATGGTGCCAGTCAGCACAGAGAATAGCAGAATCTAAAAAGTATTTATCCACTGTGTATAGAAACGCAGGATCAAAAAACCCCATAGAACGTCAGCAAGCACGTCTTTGTCACTAGGGAGGTTTCTCCTCAGCCACGGCAGGTTTGAGTTCGCACCTTTCTGCTCTTAAACACCTTTGGGAGGGCTTCATTACATCCTCAGAAAACCAGGTGCCAAAACCGCCTGCAAGTCAGAAGGCTCTTGCTTCACTTAAGATCATTTCCGCTTCTATCCTTTATGAATATAGAAAGAGAAGGGACCACTCTTCATAATCTAATAATTTTGCACAGGCTTCTTGCATCACTTCTATTCTGCTTCTGCAAATTAAAAAATATCCTTCTCTGTGATATTTTCTTTATTACATCCCCAAATAATGTCAAAGCTCATTTCTTTGTTGTTGAAAGTACTACATGTCCTCCTTTCCTCCATTGACTCCTTCTAGCCCACCCCCACCCCTGACCCAGGCCGTCACCACCCTATTGTCGGTGTCCATGGTTTATGCATATATGCATACTCAAAGCTCATTTCTAATTTCTCCATCTGTATGACACTAAAATTATTCTCTTTTATTGTTGAAATTTGTAACTGAGCACTTAATTATTTTAATGTAACTGGTGGGAGAAATGGAGAGTGATGGTGTTGTTTTGTCATTGCTAAAACTTCACTTTTTTGCCCTATCCGGTTTGGCTGGCTCAGTGGATAGAGCGTCAGCTTGCCAACTGAAGGGTCCCAGGTTCGATTTCTAGTCAAGGGCATATGCCTGGGTTGTGGCCTCAATCCCCAGTAGGGGGCCTGCAGGAGGCAGCCTATCAATGATTCTCTCTCATCATTGATGTTTCTATCTCTCTTTCCCTTCCCTTCTTCTCTGAAATCAATAAAAATATATCTTTAAAAACAACAAGAAAAAACTTAACCTTTTTCTTTCCTACCTCCAACCTCCAACATCCAGCCAACAGTACCAACAGCCCGATTCCTGTAGTTATAATATAAATTCAACAAAATTTGTTAATGCTGGCATTGTATCAGAAGCTTTTTCTTAGGAAACACTAGAAAATAGAATGATCCATTGCTTCAACAGCATTTTGTGAAGATTTGCCAACCCAGGCACAAGAATTTTGGCGTGAAGTCTGACAGGGCTCATTCAGACACATGGAGGAACCTCTATCTTTAACCTCTGAAGAAAACAAAGGTCACTTGAGATAATGGGGTATATTCCATGGAATTAGAGTGTGATAAAATTGACTGTGCAGTTCACTCCAGCTTAACTACATACCACACATTACCACTGATTTGCGGTAAGGTGCTCATAC